AACGTTACACAAAGGACGCATTTGAGCTTTACCATCTCGAGTATGCACGACACGGCCATCATATGGCCAACGTTCTAGAAATCCCAATAGAAGCTTCTCACGTTATATTAACAGATCAATAGGGCAGAAGAACTTCTCAAGACACCTTCGAAACCCCGAATCCAACCTCCAGACGAATACAATGCAATAATAGCCGGCCTTTCCGGTGCAGTAGGCACTTCGATATCGAATATTGCAGTATACCCTATCGACTTGATTGTAAAAAGATTACAAGTCCAACGTGCAATTCAGTCTCAAATAACCCCAAACGGTAGTGACAAGATTGGTAGTAAGAGTGAAAAGGGAGAGGATGACTTGTATAAGGATTTCGTCGATGCTGCAAGGAGGATATACAAAGAAGAAGGTGGAGTGAAGGCATTCTACAAGGGATGCTTGCAGGATACGGCGAATAGTATGGGGTCGGCATTTATATACTTTCTATCTTGTAAGTCCCCTTTCTGCATACTACACGATCGTATTTAAAATGCGGATGACCAATATGTACATGTACCCATATTCAATTGGGGAGTTTAGATAACTTTATGCGTCAAAGGCGGCTTCAAGCAAATACCCTGCCATCTGGGAAAATTCCAAAGACCCTCGGAGTCCTCGAGGAACTCTCAATAGGCGTCCTATGCGGTGCAATCGCAAAGTTCTTCACCGCCCCAATCGCGAATATAGTAACAAGGAAACAAACGGCTGCTCTCCGACGACAAGGCAACAAACAATCCTCAGAAAAAACAGATGAAAATACAATTATCAAACAAATTTACGAGGAAAACGGCATCCGAGGTTTCTGGTCAGGTTATGATGCTACGCTAATATTAACATTAAACCCTGCCATTACCTTCTTCCTATACGAGACCTTAAAATCTTTATTACCGAGGAAATATAGAGAAAAGCCGACATCAGGGCAGACGTTCTTACTAGCTGCGATTTCAAAGGCAGTGGCAAGCTCGATTATGTATCCGATATCTATGGCAAAGGCTAGATCACAGGTACGAAAAAAGGATAAAGCGAGTGGAAGGTTTCCGGTATTGGAAGTTTTGAAGGAGGCATATAAGACTGGAGGAGTCATGGGGATGTATGAAGGCATATGGGGCGAGATATTCAAGGGTTTCTTTTCGAATGGTATAAATTTATTACATCCTTGAACCGATTCTTTACCTAGGAGTATTTGGGTAGTGATATACGTTTTGATATACTAATGATGGTATCTATATATAGGAATCACGATGCTTATCAAGGAGGCTCTCCACAGACAAATTCTATCTTTCTATATATTTATTGTACGACTACGGCAGAAGAATAAAACGCTGTCAAGCGTGGTCACCGACGCTAGTCGCACTGCCCATAACAAGATTCAGGAGAACGAGACGATCCAGAATGTTGCAGCGGCAACCCAACAGGGACTTAATACCGCTAAGGAACAGGTTCAGAGCATCACTAAAACGGGAGTAGATAAAGTCAGTGGTATTGTCACAGATGTAAGCTCAAAGGGACAGGAACAACTTAAATTTGACCCGGAAATGCCGCATATCGGGGACGTCAGTGGCGAAGTCGGTGGGATTGATTGGGAAGATGCTATTCCGACCCAAAACGAGGAGGTTAGGAATAGAATCTTAGGAATACTTTGGGGAGATAAGAAATAACTATGAGCTTGGTCGACTGTTTAGCACGTGGAGGCTCGGTATGTGTTATTATGGGGATCGATCCGTAGACTGTTACATTTCAGGAGGAGGACACAGATAATATATTTCTTTACTTAGTTCGCAGATCGGTTTGGAAGATATTAAAATAGAATGATAATCTCCACAAAATATCTAAAAATTGAAATATAACAGCGTATCCTTCGCTAGAGGTCAACCGTCCTCTTGACATCACCATCTCATTTCATCATCTCTTCTCACCATTCCTCGATAAATCCATGCATCCACGATAGCCGATCCAGGGCCTGTTACCCCACTGATCTGCATCGATCTCAAGATTCACTTCCCGTTCTCTGAAATAGCAATGTCGAGGCGTACAGGGGCCATTATTCCTGCGTACCTCCCACGGTGGCCTGAGGAAGAGCAGCTTCCAAGGCCATATGACTCTGTCCTGGACCCCTTACACGCAAAGCCAGGGTTACCACCGACACAGTGTACATTTCTATCATCTTCATTGACTAGAGATGGGGCACGTGTCTGGGATAGACTGAAGGTTTCTCTTTACGTCGTCATTATCACTCTAATGCGGCACTTCGACATAGGCTGTCAAAATCCAAATGACCGTACCAAAGGAAACTTCCAAAAGCTTCTCAACCAACTATACTTCGAGGAAACCGACGAAATAGGAGACTATGTCGAGGCTACTGGTGACATTGATTATGATTTCGAATTTAACCAAGAGACCATCTTGCGCCTTTGCTCTCTTAAACATCGGTACCCGATTTATAACCGCCTTTTTGATGCTCTAAGGGCCATGGAACTTTCTATACCATATTGGTGTATTCTTCGGGAGGTATATATAGATGTTAGACTTCCACCGCGACCTCAATTTATACTACCTACAGCCAATCAATACGAGCAACATGCGAGCGAATATGCGGATATGTTCTACACAGCTGAAGAGCTGGCGTATGGGAAAAAGGATATGTTAAAGAAGTTGGCGAACTATGCACATTGGATGATGTATAACATTGGTGAAATAGAAAGGCCCTTCAGAGAACATAACGAACAAATGCTCAGGGAACAACAACGGGATACAGAGATTGAAAAAGATGGTCTCCCAAAGTTGGATGTCCCTTCTGTCGACTTTTCTGAATTCATTCAGGAACGGTACCTTATTGATCAGGATCAGGACGATAGCAGCGGCATGTCCAAAAAGAAGAGCAGCGTCCCCAGATTGGATGTCAAAGTGGTTCAACAAACTCTTACCCTGAACATCAACCCTGCTGCTAGCTCGTCTGTCCAACAATCCGTTAACGCTGCCGCTGAAATTAACACTATCAATACCAATACTGCCGGTCCTTCGACTGCTGATCCCTCTGCTACCCCCGCCCAACAAGATGCTAACTCCCAATGCCAACAACCTGATAACACCGCCTACCAACCTGTCAATCCTCCTCATGAAGGAGATCACAATAGTCTCACCGGAGGGGAGTCCAATAGCCTCGCTACAGGGACTGATAACACCGTCGTAGGAGGAAACGATAACACTCTTGCCCTTGGGCGGCCCGTTAATTCTCTAGTCCAAGGGACGGTTACCCCTTCCGCTGGGCAGAGCCTTAACTTCGTCTTTCACCAGACTGTCAATATCCCGACGGGCCAACAAGTTGATGATCCCCCATCTCAGGAGAACGTTGATCAACCGTCACAAGGCCCGTTAGATGAGCATCTACGAGGATTGAGTGACGATACACTTCGAGATGTTCTGGCTCAAGCGTCACAAAACCGCGCAGATACTGACCGGGTCTAATCATTTCCTTTTGTTAAATGCATAATATGAGGTATGAAGGAACTTTTGAATACAACAATGCTCCTTGCAAGGGTGCAAGAGATCTGGTTGGAGTATGGAACAAGGGGTAATGTTTAATGCTTTGGGGTTTTCTCTCTCTCTTTTTCTTTTCTTTTGGGTACCAGGTATTAATGCTGGGGTTACTGGAGTTCAAAAAGCTATGACAAGGAGTTTGGTATTAAGATTGGGGATAATTAATGGGGTTCGATGGTCTATTATAAGGAGCTTGGCTATTTGGTCAGCTTAAATATCAATGGGGGTTAATTAATGGGACTCGATAGTCAGGTTTTATAGGAGTTCGGTTTTCTTGTCAATGCATACTACACAAAAACAGGAAAAACAAGGGGAAAAAGAGTTTGGCCACTATGGTTTAATCAGTCTGATATTGTTAGTGGGATTAATGGCTAATGATTAATATGCTTAATGTTTAACGGAGGTTTAGGTAGTCTACTGGCCAAGGTGCCTTTTCCAAAGGCCACTACTTGCGACCTCGACGGTTGTTTTACAAAAGTTGTTCGGTAGGATATTAGCCCTACAAGAGTTATAGAGCGTTAGTAACTAGGGTAGCCGGTTGATAGAATTTGGGACCAGAAGGAAACAACGGAAATGCAATAACTATTAGCCGTCGTCTTTTCTTTTCTTTTCTTTTCTTTCTTTATTTTAGGTTAGCGTTAGTACTATAGTATTACCTGGCTTGTATTCTTGGATTTTGTGAGTTCTTATGATTGGAGTACAGAGGTTAAGTATGTAGCTCTCCTCTCAGTCGACATCGTAGTCAAATGGTTGTAATACGTAGTAGTACCGAAGATTGAAGATCGAGAACATTCGAAATCGAGTTTCGTTGGAGATTACCCTTTTCGACCTTCCGGGAAAAACTATGATTGGTTGGATTTTTGGTGCTACTATCCGTTTTGAGTAAGGCGGGAAGGAAATGACAACAGTGTCAACACATTATTATTATTCTGTTAATTCTTTTGAGTGCGTTTGATTTAATAGCGGGGCTCGTTGGAAGATGGTACTTATTAGGCTATTAGCTATTTTACTGGATGGTAGGCATAAGGCTACATGTATATTGAGAATAGCAGAAGTTTAGGTCTATAGTAGAGGAATGAGTAATGGATCGTTGTCGTAGTGTCGTGTAGTTGGAGTGTCGTTGTAGTGTCGCTTGGCTCGTTGGTGTCGCTGTAGTCTCACGGCGGTGTCACAGCAGCGACACCATATTCGAATATCCTTAAATTCAACAAAAATAACAATAACAAGCAACGCTGTAACAGTACTATAAGTCTTCGACCCATGCAAATAAGATTGAAATAGACTTTACAGAACCAATGAATTTCAGGAAGCTCTGGGCTGTCACTAAAAAAAAACATCGGGTGCTATCAGGTATATCGAGTAGAATGGGAAGCCAGGCCTTAGAGATTAATCTAGCGAATAACGACGATACAGGTCTTCATGCACAAACCCCCTCGATGGTGTAGTTGGTATCACAACAGGCTGTAATAGTCTTCGGAAGCTTCAAACTTCTGAGTTTCAAAAAATCGTAACCTGCAGGTCACCAGTTCGAATCTGGTTCGAGGGACTTGGTTTATCTTTTTTTATTTTTCAAAATTTTGTGGTTACCTTTTTTTGGATAGGCTGAATGTCCAGGGTTCGAAGGCTTGAACCTTGTCGTGGGCCTAGGGTTTGGAATGAGGCTGTGACAGGGTATATAAATTTATTTTTATGATATCAAGTTCGATAGAGTATTAGTAGTAACCAACAGACTGGTATCTATATCTAGCTAATTTGATCATAAGTTACATACTTGTATCTGTAAATCATGGACTTCTAATTGTTAGTGTGCCGTGTTGTTAAGACCAGCCAGAACTTCACGAGAGAATCCCCAGATCCCGTGACTTTTTTTTCATTTTCAAAACTTCATCCGTTCTCGCCGATGGCTCACTATTTTCATAAAATGATGTGAGCGTTCGATTGATGCAAAAATCAAGAGATTTGGACAAGAATTGAGCTCTGTGGATGAGGTTCGGTTTTTGACCATCGCAACTTCGTGACGGTGACTTCAACACAACCATAAAGTGTATTACTGACTTACTAATCTTATAATCGATAATCACATGTATTAAGTAATACTTGATCATTAATTGGGTAGGTTATTGTTATAATTGTTACAACAAGTAATCTTCGCGGTCGTCTTGAAATTACGTAACCGATTCTTGCAGTTTTCAGAGTTTACAACTTCGACACTTATATGCGTTCGGGCTGGCTACCTTCGGCTAGCTGTCGCTGAAGATACCCGTTTAGCTTTGGTCACTTCGCTGTCGCCGAATGCAATGGCATAACCGCATTGCGCATGATTCACCAACTTCGAACGGCCATGGTCGGGGACTTATAAACATCGCCTCTCCCATAGCTCATGATGTAGCGTGTAGGCATGACCGATAGATGAAGAAAGAGACAATATCATTGGAAGCTTCAAAATGCTGCCGTCCCTCAGCAGAATAACATCCCGCCTCATCCGCACTCGACTTCCCACCCCGCGGGCCCCTCTACTCCCACGACTCTCCCAATCCACGACAACCAGACGTTTCCTATCACCCCTTCCAAAACCTTCACTCTTCTCCCGCCAATTTCACACCACCCCTTCCAACCCCTCCCCCACCAAATACCAACAAACCCAACGTCTCCGCTGGGGAGCTTACATCGCCCTCCTCCGCTGGGCCGCCCGCCCATCCTTCCTCCTCGAAGCCGCCGGTCTAGGAGCCCTAACAGGCGGCTTCTACGTCTACAACCTCGAAGAAGTACCCATTTCCGGCCGTCGTCGGTTCAATATAATCCCCGAAGACTTCCTGCAATCCCTCTCCGAAGACAAAAACCAAGAAATCCTGAACCAATACCAAGGCAGAATCCTATCGGAAACAGATCCACGATATAAACAAGTCCGTCGTGTATTAGAAAAACTAGCACCGAATTCCGGATTACCGTCGGATTATAATTGGCAAGCTACTGTGATCGAATCGGATGAAGCGAATGCCTTTGTGATACCTGGTGGGAAGGTATTTGTTTTCACAGGGATATTGCCGGTTTGTGGTGATGATGATGGTCTGGCTGCGGTATTGGGTCATGAGATCGGGCATAATGTTGCAAGACATCTGGGGGAACAGATTAGTAGGGGCATATTTCTGATAGCTGCCGCCTGGGTCGTCGAGTTGTTTTGGGGCGTACCGGGGGATATGAGTCTTCATTTGTTACAGTTTGCGATTGATATGCCCAAGTCTAGGGCTCAGGAGAGTGAAGCGGATCATATTGGATTGCTACTTATGGCGAAGAGTTGCTACGATCCTAAAGCTGCTGTTGCTGTGTAAGTCTCCCCTCCCTCCAGCTCTCTCTCTTTTATATTGAATACTTCAGCTAATGAGGTATAAACAGGTGGAAACGGATGGAAATAGAAGAACAGAAGATGCCGCGACCACCAGAGATTCTAAGCACGCATCCTTCATCTCGTCGTAGGCAGACCGAATTAACCGCCCTTCTACCAAAGGCATACGAAGTAGGTCTAGATTCTGATTGTGCCGTAACTGGACAGTATAGTAAGCTCCCTCATATCCCTTACTTTCAATCAGTCTAGTCGTTACACGATCTAACCAATGAACCACACATTAAAAGCCGAACAATTCAAGAAATTCGGACAGGGACTCGACATCTCGTTCTAACCCTCTGATCAAAGATTGACATCACTCTAAAACTCAAGGAGAGGCCTCATTTCGCCACACTAGCCGAAGGGAATACCCTCCAAGGCCTTGGGATTATATTCTCAATCCATCATACCCACCATTATATCCTTTTCATATAGGATCTAGCACATATTCTAATTACACATATCCATTTTAATGTATATTGCTTGTATATACCGACCTACATAGTATATAAAAAGAATCAACGTTGATGATCATCATATATTAATAGAATATAAGTCCCTATCCGCTTCGCTATATTGTCTTGATTTACCATAGTACTATTCGATATTAAAAGTCGGTATACATAGAAAGGTTTAAAATTCAGTTCATAGCATCCCCATATACACATATTTCTCGGGGGGTCCTTTTATTTATTTTCCGTTTTTCGTCTCAAGCTATCTATCCTAGCTATAATACATGAGCGCTTATAGAAAACCTATTAACAAGACGGAACAAGAAGTCAGAGGTGATCGGGGGAGTGGGGGAGTGAGTGAGAGATAGAGTGGAAGGAATCAAAAGAAGGCTAAGCATGCAAGCTTTGATGAAAAAAGGAACAAAGAGAGCGAGTTAGGGTTGGAAGATAATCCTCGAAGGAAGTCATTATCGAGTTCTCCCATAAACCCTCCAACACACCGCGCATTAAGATAACATTTCAGAGCTAATACTCCTCGAAAAGCAAAAGGACGTTAGTGTCGGAATCAGGGAGCAGAACGCCACTAATGGAAAACACCCCCCCGGAACAGTAACAGTAGCAGTAATAACGGTAGTAATAACGGAAAACAGCAGAACCGATAACGCTGGCCATGAGAGAGGATAAAAATTAGAAGAAGAAAAAAGTTAACAAAGAACGCCGTGTTTTTAGGTGATGCAAGATATATGCACTTATTTTCTTTCTTTCTGTAAAACATCCTGCTGCAAAGGCGGAGTCCAGAAAATAGAAGCCAGGCAACCATTGTTAGTGGCGCCTAGAAGCAATATAGACCACGAGAAGAAGCAGAAGAAGAAGCTCCCTAGAGAGGACAGGAAAGAGGGGAAACAAGGAAAACGGGGGACTTATAGAAGAATTCCTCAATCCGAATATAGAGATAACCCATTTTTGGTGGGAGGGTATGGTCAGATAGGAGAGGGGTAAGAGCGGTAGTGGAAGGCGGGAAACAAAAAGTTACGAAACTAGGATCGGATAGCTTGGGAAAGGGTCGGGTAGCAGATTACTGCTCCAAGTAGGGCTCCGCATCTTCTATGTACGAATCCTCGTTGGGGTCGTCTAGTGATTCCATCGCCTCTTTGATCAACGAGCTCGCCTGCAGTTGAATGTGTTAGCGCAGGGCGAAACGGGGATGGAAGCTCATTAGTTCTTACTCTAGGGTCTAAGTGTAGAGCGGACGTGAAATGTTTGACAGCAAGCTGCTTCTCGTGAAGCAGCTTATAAACTCTAGCAAGCATGAAATGTACGTTTGCTTCCTCCGGGGCAATATCCTTGATAGAGACAAGCTCATCCCGTGCCGCCTAATTCATAATCAGTATAAGTCGCTTGGGCAACGTAACATAAAGATTGTAGGATCAAACTCACATGTAATTTCCCTAATCCTATTAGGACGCGAGCCTTTCTGAACTTTGACAGGGCACTACCCGGCGCAAGGTCGCAGGCCTTCGAATAATGGACTAGTGCTTGCTTATAATTCCCTTCCTTTTCGAAAGCCGCACCAACGCAGCATATTAGGACAACGTTTGTTGGGTTGATAGAGTATGCGGTCTTGTAATGCCTAAGAGCCATGTCGTTCTTCCCCGACTTCTCGTAGACCTTCCCGATTCCGTACCAAGCATTGTAATGACGACTGTCGGCAGATAGAGCGCTTCTGAAACACGACATGGCCTTCTCAAGATCGTCATTGGCAAGATGTTCATGACCTTGTAATGTGTAAGCGTAGGCGAGCCCATCGTCGATCTGAGTAGCACGCTTGAAGCATCGGAGAGCCTGATCATGGTCTCGCTGGAGCGAGTAACAATTTCCTAGGGCACACCATGCCTGAGGGGAGACTCGATCAAGATCAAAAAGCTCGTGAGCTAGGAATGACAGTTCAACATCTTTCTTGAGATGCCAAAGTAAGGTTGAGTATGTTTCCATTTCTTGCATGCGTAGAGGATCCATCAGGCGGACTTTTGCGAAGCATTCGCCGGCCTAGAAATGTTAGTTTTAGAGACTATCCATTCGGGTTGTAGACGATAACTTACTTCGGTATATCTGGAAAGTTCATATAGGGCCCGCCCAAGTTTTGCAAGAACGTATGGAGTTTCTCTGTGGACCGAGTTTAAGGACTGATAGTTCATAACGGCCGCTTTGCAATCAAAGCGACAGAGGTTTACCAATGCAGTCCCGAGTTTTCTATACAAGTCCAAGATGACAACATGTGCCATAACTTCCTTAGGTTCTTGCGGTCTTGGAATTGGAGCCGATATTGGACGAGCCTCAGCCATGTGGACATCGCCTTGACTATGGACTAAAGCGCTCGATGTTTTATCCGCGGCTAACTGGCTTCGACTTGAAGATTTAGTAGCCGTCTTAGGTTTCTTCGCTTCTCGTTGCCCGGCCGCCGCAAATTTACTGGCAATTCGGCTCGAGTTGAGAATTCGATTGCTTCTGCGAGTAGCTGGAGCGGTCACAGCGGTCTGGGAGTTCTTAGCCTCATCGGTACTAGCAATGGACCTTTTCTTCTCTAGCTGGTGATCCTGATCTCGTGATCTGGTCATCAAAGTCTTTCGCGGAGCATCTATCAAACTTTGAGGTCGAGCTTTACGGGACGGCGCTTTCGGGTAGTCGATGGACGCCGAAATGACATTATCACTT